AGCTGCATACCCAGGATTCTTCACAGGGTCATATGTTCTCGGCTTTGGCAACATCCTTACTGGATTGCATATGCAATAGCTGGGCTCACACCCATTCCAACTCCTCCCAGCCCTGTCACTCCAGACACTGCTGCACGGGGCATTCAGAAGAGAGCCAAAAGGTTCTTGATGCAATGGCGAGCCAGCAGGTCCTTGATGTGGAGCCCTGAAGCGGCCACCAGATGCAACTGCTGCTGCATACCCTGCAATGCTTGATTCAACTGTTGTACCTCTTGGAGATTCTGTTGCGTTGCTGCATAAAACGTGTCCCTGCTGCATCTGCTGGATCTGTCCTTGTACATCCTGCTGAGTCTGTTGCATTGCTGCATGTACTTGCTGCACAATTTTCTGAACCACACCTCCTGTGACCAATTGTGTCACCCCAACACAGCCCTGAGCTGTACTGCCAATGGCCTGCTGCAACTGCAATGTATCCAGTCTAGCGCGTTGTTGCTGCTGTTCACCCGGCCATTGTCTGAAGCATTGACTCCAATCAAAGATAAAACTGCAATGACCAACTTCCCACTGATCAGTGGCCAACGCAATCCGGATCTGCCTTCATGGCGCATGTCAGTGATGCCCCTCAGGCGAATGTCACCCGCCTCACCAGATCGCTTTCCAAGATTCTTGCGGTGTGACAATTCCCTGCGGTGCATCCACTGACAAAGCAACTCTTCTGCTGTTGTTTGAGCGGCCAGCTCCGCTAGTACCATGAAAAGTGATATGAGTGGGCCCACGGCGCAAGTTGAGTCATTTTTTAGACTTACAAACATATGTGTGGCAGCATTTATTTTTTGGTACTAAACGCACATACACACTATCTATATATTATGTGGGGGCCCTATCTCTTTTAGACTACTTAAGCAGGAGGTCACGTCACAGTATCTTGTTGAGAGTACGTTAGTAGCAAATAACACTATCTCGTTCAGACTACTTTAATGTCATTAAACACAAGTATTTTTCTCGTTGATGTGGGGCCCTATCTAGTTCACAAGCGAATATTGATGATAGAGAAGCAAATAAAGCATGCCGTGCTAAAGCCTAAATAAAAGTGGGTGCTCATATATACATATTTTCAAACCGTCCGTCTCTGGCTCTCATGAGACTACTTGAATGCATTTTTTTCTTGGCGGTTTTGGGACATGCTAGTATTGATGTATACAGTACAAAATGTACACGTTGAGCAGTCCACTTCTACGTAGATTTGAACATTTCAACCACAGTAAATGCAGCTGCACTGTGAAACTCTGGCCAATAAGATATCAGCAAGCCCCAAAACTAACAATGAGCAGGCCTCGTGCTTGAGTGAATTCAGTTGCATAGCAAGCATCTCATCCTGCGTGAAGCAATGGTTTTAACATTGAGAAAGCACAACAGTTCAACAGCTGTGCTAAACGAGAACACGTAATGTGTCTCAGTCTCACGGGCATAATGCAACCTGTGAGGCTTTTATATATTTGTCTCTCCGTTGCATTTGCCGCTTGGTTGTGTTGCTTCCGTTGCCAAATCAAGTACGCAAGAAACAATGCATCACATCACTGCTTACTGGCCATCCCTCGATTCTGGCAGTGGCTTTGACAGATTTCTTGAATAAGGGAATTTAGGCTTTTCCATGCCTTCATGGACAATCTCCCTGCATCTGGTACGTGAGGCCTGACTTGTGTAAGTTCAGCTCGATACACGAATGTTGATTCACATTGAATGCGGTCTCACAGAGTAATGGCTTGCAGGCAACAAGACTCTGAAGCCAATCTAATGTCCAATCAATATAGACGAGGTCTGAGGTCTGTGTTTGTTGTCGACCGTCTCAGCAGTCTTTGCAAAAGCTGGTGAACATAATGGGAACCCCGCACAAAGGCCGCACCGCCATCCTGAGAAATCAATTGAAAAATGGCAACAAGTTAAACAACTATCGAAAACTCCATACTAACGGCACATCAGGATCTCCTGAAAGGAGTCCATACGTCTGCGTAAGCTGTCTAAAACGCTATTTTGCTCCTGCATTCGCACAGGCAAAGGTTTACATGCTGTGCATGAAGCTGCTGCTTGTCTTAAGGCAACCAAAACACAATGACCACGTGCAAAGCAACGGAGTATGTGGAACTGTCTAGCTTTTTGATCAGGTTCGCCTTCAAGGACGTCGCCAGCCAGGATAGGCCACTTGCAAGTTTTGCAGCTGAAATCTCCAAAGATCCTGACACCAACCTTGGCAGTGTGTTGAAGTTGCCCAATGAGAACCCAGCAGTGTTGCTTTTTTCATTCAGAAACCTTTGTATATTACCATTGCAGGCAATTGGATTCGTGATGGCAAAAATCCGCTTATGCTTTCAGCCTATGGCAGTCTGACCAACAACATCATGGGTCTCTTCTCACCCTACACGAGCACTTGCATGAGCTCGGATTTGAGGGTGTTGCACGTCGGTCTCAAATTCAATGGGCGCTGGTGAAAGAGCTGCCATACTAAACAAGGGGCAAACCTGATACAGCAAATAAATGCAAATGACATGATGACATGGCATCGAAAACGTGGAATCCCTGAATCCCTCATTAATTGTGCTTGTCCTTGTCTAGCTGCTTCGAGCCTATGCGACGCCAGTATCTGATGGCAGGCTTCTGAATAGGCTGCTGGGGAGACTTGGTATGATGGGATTAGTAATAGTAATGAGTAATTGTTAGTACGGACTTGTTTGTCACAATGGCGTTTAGCTCGACCTTTATCTTCCAAAGCGGACGCTTTTGGGAAGGATGAGAAAGGGTCCTGCCACTCTGAGAACTTGAGGCTTGCATGATATTATAACAATGCCTTTAGGCTTGGTCTAGTCTACAAAAATTCCCGTGGCATCAACCTAATGAAGTCAACCTTCCAAATATGAGCTTGAATTGCTGCAGGCAACATCAACATGATCTTGTGCACTGATTGACCAAGAACAAGATCAAAGCACCAAAGTACCGTTTTTTTCGCCGTGGCACCCCAAATATTCGGGACAGTCACTAAAACCTAAAGGCATCCATATAAGGTCAATGAAATGAAAGACTGAGAGACTGCACTGTTGGCATTGTATGACAGTGGGAAAATGGAAAATTTGATGAAGGTATAAAATAGTGCTCGAAACAAACACACAACATCTCTCAGACGCTTGTGTGAACTGGTACATCCTGCAAAGCCAACCTTGATCGACAAAGGAACAAATTGATGGAATCCTTCAGATCTTGCATTTCAAAGGTCCCAACGTGGCTGCGTGCAAGCTTGCTGCAGCAAGATACCTGTCGTGCAAATAAAACCAAGCAGTGCTGAGAAAATTGGTGTTGTGTCGTTTTCAACACTGTGCAAAGGGGTGCCAGCAAGTGGCGCAACTCAATATCCCCATGCCATGTTTTTTTTGAGAGAGTGGCAGGCTGTGGGAGTGCACCTTTTTAGAAGATTGAATGTGAATGAAGATATGTATGCACTAGTTTTGTGGCTTATCAGCATCTAATTAGTGTCAAGTTGCTTTCGAGTCTGGCCCTCGTGATGGCAGAGATAGAAGGTTAAACAATGATCATTTCCTTTTATATTTCATTTTCCCTTGTATGACTCCGGTTCATGTATCCTTTGAAATTGAACAATTCCTTGCATTTTCCCTTTTAAACATGATTCATTCCTTCCATATGTCATTTTCCCTTTTATGAACCCCTTTCAACCTGCAATTTGTATAATTTCCTTCAATGTTCCTTTCAAATATGATTATATATATAAATTTTTCATGTTCCCTTTAAATTTGATTATATAATATCTCTATTTTGTTCTAAAAAATAAATGTTTTCTGTTATGTTCCTTTTTAAAAATGATCCATTCCCTTCATTCATCCTTTGCAAATGATTCATTTCTTTCATTTTCCTTTAAAAATGCTCATGTCCTTTTATATTTCATTGTCCCTTTTATGATTCCTTTCATTTTCCCTTTAAACATGACCATAACTTTTCATATTAAAAAGAAATCCTGTCATCCTGTCATATTAAACAGAAATTGTTAATGGTTAAAAGTGAACATGAAAGGAGCTGTTCATTTTCAAAAGGCAAATGAAAAGAATCAAAAAAATATGTAAAAAGGGACATAGAAGAATAAATATATAATTGTTAAAGAGACAATGAAAGGGTTTCATCATTATAAAAGGACATAGACATCAAACACATTAATCGTTTCTAAAGGTAAATAAACACCACAATAATCATTGTTACAAGCACAATAAAAGGAACTAATCACGTATAAAATAGAAAGTGCTTGTAATTGTTAAAAGGAACATAAAGGAAACTAGTTATATTTAAAGGAAAATACCAGGAACTAATCATTCTGAACAAGAAATTAAAGAAAATATCCGTTCTAGAAAGGAACCAAATTGAAAATATTAACTTTTACAGGAATCAACTATTCTTTAACCTGATAAAAAAATCAATGCTAAAAAACAGAAGCATTTAAAACATGAAAAATAAGCGAAATATATATACATTAAGGGAAAATAATCATGTTTAGAAGAGCAATGCAAACACATAATCATTTTTCAAAGGGAATAACAGGATATAATCGTGTTTAAAAGGAATTGCACACCTTATGTCTGAAGTCTTGGGATGGTTCATGGGTCTGCAGTTTTGTTTTTTGTTTTTCCTGAAAGCATTGTTAAGGGTTCTTCCGGAAAATCCCTTGAACACTGACATTTCAACACTTACACTTGAACACTGACGCTTCCACACTGACACTTGAACACATACACGTCTATACGTATCCCAGTGTAAGGGTAAAAAGCATCCAAGGGTAAGTATGCAAGTGTAAGTATCCAAGTGCAAAAGTATGCAAGTATCCCAGCGCAATCCCAGTGCAAGTATGCAAGTAAGAGTATGGAGAACTTGCACGGGAGATGTCCTTATAACTAATGAAAAACATTTCCCCACTTTATAAATTCTCTCTTAAAGGCGGAGGGTGGGACGAACAGCGTCAACCGAAAATGCAACCCTCTGCGGAGATCGTGCGTGTCAAGTGCGCGAAATGCAGGCGAGAGTGCGATTTGTCCGGTGTGCGCGCAACCCTCTGCGGATATCGTGCGCGTCGAGTGAGCGAAATGCAGGCGAGAGTGCGATTTGTCCCATGCGCGCGCAACCCTCTGCGGAGATCGTGCGTGTCGAGCGCGAAACGCAGGCGAGAGTGCGATTGGGTCTGCGCGCGCGCAACCCTCTGCGGAGATCGTGCGTGTCGAGCGCGCGAAATGCAAGCGAGAGTGCGATTTGTCCCATTCCCGCGCAACCCTCTGCGGAGATCGTGCGTGTCGAGTGCGCGAAATGCAGGCGAGAGTGCGATTTGTCCCATGCCCGCGCAACCCTCTGCGGAGATCGCGCGTGTCGAGTGCGCGAAATGCAGGCGAGAGTGCGATTGGTGCGGTCCGTGCGCAACCCTCTGCGGAGATCGTGCGTGTCGAGTGCGCGAAATGCAGGCGAGAGTGGTGTGCGCGCAACCCTCTGCGGGGATCGTGCGTGTCGAGTGCGCGAAATGCAGGCACTGGCGACTTTGTAGTACGCGGAGCAATCTGTGGAGCTGGAAGCTGAGAACTGGCGACATTCTATTCTAAAGTCCATTTCGTTGTATTTGGGTGTCATCTCATTGCATTTGGGTGTTATGATTTCTACTTCCCCTAGTAACGGATCAAAAGTGCAATGAGATTTCACCCAATACAACGAAGAATCACACTCACATACACCCTGCAATGCTGTGTTCGCTGTCATTTTCCACTTCCACAGCGTCAGCTGTAGTCTTGGCCCAAAGGGGGGCCAAAGAAGATGCCTGGCAGGCAAAATGAACCACAGACAAGTAGGACCCATTCTCAAAGGCCTTTGTTTGGTATGTTTGGGTCATGGTTGTTCCCTGTTCCCGCCTCCGCTACTACACACCACACAATCTTGCGTACCTGGAGCAAGAAACATGTACATGAGGAGGACGACACACTGACTGCTCATCAAGTTTACCCACCACACAGTTCAAAAACATCGCGTTGAGCACCAAGTTCTCCTTTTCTTCATCCCGGGTCGTCCGGAGCGACGTGGCTCTCTTGGCCGGGGCATGCCGGGGCACCTAGACTTGGCTCCATGCTTGCTGTCAAAATCAAGCGATGAAAGCGGGATCCTACACAAGCCGGATCGCTTGGTCAGGTGACATGTGCAGGGGAGATCGGATAAACCATAGTGGCTTACCTGAGGCAGCATGATAACCCCAGTGGAAAAGTCACGCAAGCAACTAAAACCTCTATATAATTTGGCTGCGGTGCGTGGACCCAACTCCTTAGCTCCAAGGTTTCTGCAGTAGGTCGTTGTTCATTTTATGTTGGTTTAGACTTAATCACGGAGTGCGATGTGCCAAGTGGCATTGGTTTCTTTGGTGTAGAAAATTCGCCAAACTTTTCGCAACTGCCGTGATTCCTCCAGCTCCTGCCACTGGTATTGAAGCTAACATCCCAACATATCCCCACCCAAACATGTGGCATGGTTTGTGTGACCTAGCCTTGGCAGTAAAGATAGAAGCCACTGACGCATACTTAAGCCCATGCATGCTGGTGGGCATATTCCAGCCGTACCACATCTCGTTGGTCTTTGGCGAAATCTTGTAAGCCTGCTCACCTCAACTACCAGAAAACAAAACAAGAGAGAGCCACAGTGTGTCAAACAGGAAATGAATGGTTGAATGAAGTCCAGCTAAACGACTAATAGTTGTCTAGGGACCTTTCTCGTCTTTCGTGCTTTGCAAATCATGGCTGTTCACGGTCGCTCCAGTGATGCCTTCTTCTTCTAGCTCACAGATCAACGTTCTCCAACAACAAACCTCGGAGTCGCTGGTGCTCTTTTTCGAGGGGTCGGCCATCTCGAGAACGACTTGTTCAGTGTCGTGAAACCACTTGCAGGACATGACCCTGTCCAGCTCACCTCCGGCAAATTGATTGTCAAAGAGACAATCACAGGGCGACAAACAATTCACTTATCAAAGAGATTTGTTTTCATCACAGAGCAGACTTTTTGCACGCTGTTTCAGCTTCTCCCCCTTAAGCTGTGACTAACTGCTTTCGCTGCAGCGTTGATCAACACTACAGGCGGCCTAATGATGATTTGGTCAAGGAGTCCTTGACACACCTGATTAGAAGTACTTTTGGAGCAGGGTCAACAACAACAGAACAAGTCATTTGGCAGACAGAAACCTGAATTAAGTCCTGAAGTGTTCAAACACAGGGCCCTGATACAAAACTCTTGCGTTGCAAGCAGTCAACCCCTGGCTCACAGACCCTCATCAGAATCCAGATCATCTTCTGGATCCTCCGCAGCTTCGGCTGCAGAAGCTGGTTCAGTCTCTTCTTCCTGGTGCTCTTCCTCAGCCATCGCCCGGTCATCTTCCGGCATCTCACGCTCAGGCTCTTCGGGCGCAGACACGTAGGTCTTAAGGCGCCTGCGGCTGATCTCACTAGAAGACATGTTCTTGATCGAAGCGGTCCTTGAAGGATGGTCACGCCACCTCATGAAGCACTGTTCATGAACCAGTCATTGAAACAATGGAGCACCACACTTTAGACTTAAGACACAACTGGTTTGTTTCTTCGGACTGGGCGAGGGGCAGCTTCCTCGCTTCAGCCAAGACTTGGCGAGGTTTCCAATCAGGATGTTCCTGCCTGAGCTTCTCAGAGGCCTCCTTGACGTGGTTGTGGTAAACATCCCGAAGGCCAACTCGCCCTTTCACCCCACCACCCTGGGCCAAGTAAGGAAAAGATAGGAAAAGGGATGATGGCTCAAAAAGAGTGAGGGTCATGGTTTAAAGAGAGTGAGGGCAATGGTCCGACGAAGAGTGGCAGTTGTTTCCATTTTGACTGAAGGTCGGATGGCGCCCGCCTTCTTGGCCGCGCCGCCCTCCTGCTGCCTCTTCCTCCTCTTCACCTGCGAAGCCTGGCGAGGAGAGAGTGGGATAGATTTTTTGTCGCTGATTGGTGAGCGTTGGGCGCAAGTTGGCCTGAAACACTGACTGAAACATTCTGTTGTCAGATTGAACCGTGCAAGCTAAATATTCGAAGCAGCTGGCCTCAGCAGGAACGTCACCCAACACCAAAGTCTTGTCAGAGTCGACGGAATCCGGCTCCTCACTGTCCAAAGAGTTGTCTTCTTTCTCGGGCTCTCGCTTGCGGCTGCGTGCCTTCGAATCAGCTTTGGCTGGGGCAGCGCTGGACGCTGCCTTCAACGCTCGCTTCCTCTTGCGACTTGCAGCT